TGTGGTGAGCATTAGTGCACAGCACAGAGGACGTGCTACACAACTGACGTTTGCAGAGTCTTCTCCTGCAGCTGGCTATCCAGGCTATGGGAATAGGGCCAAAGTACCCTTCACACACCACTTGACACCCGCTCCACTGCATGCTTCCCTCTGTCCTGTTTTTAAGCAAGCACCATGCAGCAGGGTCTGTGTCCTTAGCAGTTCTTTACATGGCACTGAACCCACAGTAGACAATCGGTAGGTAACAACAACAGTCAATAATCAGTAAATAACAAAAATATAATCGTGATTTTTCATGTTACCTTCCTCTGCCATGTGCTGGTCAGGTGAAATGAAAAATGCTATCTGCCATAGCAGACAGGTCTTGTGCTCTTCTTACATCACAGCACGGGGCAGATGGGACATTCCTTCTCTTGACTCCTTCCCGACAGCTGGCAGGTCATTTCTGAGAAGCCACCAAGCCTGTTAATGTCTCTGGTGGCCAGGAGCCTCTTTGTGTTAGGCTTTGGTAGGGTGCCTGGCACAATGAAGCTTGAACGATGACTGGGGTCATAAGGCTGAACTACAGTACAAATAAATAATATTAATGAAAAACAATCATTCACACTAGAAGACTTGTCTGCCTAGGTCTAGCAAGAGTTTCTGGCATTACCTTCCTCATGAGAAAAACTCAGCTGCCTGACGGTCATACAGAAAATAACAGTCTCCATCTCTGGAAGATAAGCACATCAGAGGTGTGGAGGGGCTGTGACAGGGTAGCAGCTGGTGTCATCAGGTGTGCAACCAAAATGGAAAGGTGAGCTAAGTTCACTGATGGTTTCCTCTCTGGGAAGCAGCATGAATCATGTACCTCTGCCTTCTCTCTCCCTTCCCTCTCTCCCTCCTCATGGTCTCTGGATCCAGACCCCGGCAGCCAGCGTGGGAGATGATGCTTTGGACTAGACTTGGCTTCACAAGTTTCAGAACTGCCCTCAGGGCCCCTCCAAGCACAGGGGAGAGGTGAGAGCCAGGGAGATGTCTGGAAGGATGGAAAGGTTCAGTGGCATTATTTACACACAAACCAACATAGTGATTTTAAAGGAAACCTGCCTTCCCAACAGATGATTCCATGACTAGAGAGAATTATGGATTTGTGCTAGAGAGAGGCAACAACTGCAAGATGCTACCGCTAACCAAAACAAGCACAGAAACTCAGAGTTCTAATACCACATCTGGATTATGCTCTGGAAGCCTTCTCTTCTCCTTCTCCCTCTTTTCTCATTCCCACTGCTTTTAACACCAAGAAAGTTTCACATTTAGACATGGGTTTTGGCTGTTGTGGGAAGCACGTGGTTTCTGAGGCCCCATCACTGCTCTAGCTGAGCCTCCTCTGGGTTTGAGACAGCAGGTCTGTGTAAATTTTGGATCTCAGGAACCTGGGGTAAGAGTCTTTCTCCATCAGGCTATGCACCTTCCCCTGAGCTTGGTCAAAGCAAGTGAGAGAGGGCTCCTGCATATTTCTTCTTGTCAGCTCCCGTGTCTGGAAGTCTATGTTCACCTGAGAAAAGTAGCAGAAGAGAGTTTGGTGTTGAGTGACCAGTTTGCCTGCTTAAAATGACACATTAAATCTCAGCCATTGCTGTAAAAGCAGCAGAACAACCAATGTCCTACCCTCCTCCATGTCTAAACAGCACCCCAAACTTTTCAGGGTCTAGTGATCCACCGTTATAAATCCTGCCCCAAATTTGGAAGAGTTGAACTACTTTATACTGATCTGAACTGCTTCATACTTCTGAAATCAAGTTACCTCTGCTCAGGCTCTTAAGCATAGGTTTATGTCGCGCATCTTCTAAAAAATGCTGATTTAGCCTAACCTCTCTCCATCGACCAAGATTTCTCTATTCACTTTAGTCTTCACACAGGCCTAAGATAAAGGTGAATGAACTTCTAGCTGGGTTTAAACTATTAGTACGCTCTTATTAAATGTTTCTAAACTCTGTTGTTATAAAGTAAATTGTTTGATTTTTCCCAAACCAGCTTCATGTTATAATATCTTCAGCAGGGACTTGAAAAAATAAACCACCCTCATGTTATGACTGCTGTTCGTTTGGAAGGCCAACAACCTGAGTTTTCCTGTTTTCTTTCCCTGGCAAAGCAGTCAGCATTTGTTAGGGTTATTGTTTAGAAACTGGCTGAAAAGATGTTATTTGTTGTTATTAACCCAGACTCCAAACTTAAAGGAGTCTAGAAAGTAAAACTGTCTGCCTTAACTCAGACGACAGTGATACGGACTAGCTCTCTGTGTCACTTAAGGGTCATTTTGCATTCTAACACGCCAAAATTGTGACAACAGCACCAAATTTTAGGAAAGACCCATCCAGCCTGTGCTCACATTTCTAATCCAGATTCAGCCCTATAGTCCTGAAAATCTCACCCAGTTTCACGAATAACAGCAGAAAGATGCTCACTGAGGGCGAGAGGGATCGAAGCGTGCCCCAAGGTTCCCCCCACCACTTGCTGTAAACCCGGGTGCTTCCCAGTGGCCTCGCAATTGCCTTCCTAGTTCAAAGATGGAGTAAAAAGAGCCTTTTTAGGGCTCCTCTTGCAGACACCTGCGTGGTGACAAGCTCCTGTGCAATCTAGCAGGAGGACAGCTGTGGGAGAGCAGGTGCAGTAGGCACCCACCTGGTTGCATTATGAATACAATAACACAACCCAACATCACGACACAGGATCTGACAGTCGCATCAGCCTGTCAGTGCTTCAAAGAGGACTTAACAATTCCAGGCTTGCAGGTTGCGACTGCACTTTTTTGTTCAGCTCCGAGTTACCGCTGGCATCTTTCAGGAGGTCTAATTGAGTTGGGAGTTAGTCAGCAGATAAACACTCCTCCCCGGGGAGTCAACAAGTTAGTCATTCGTGGGATGCTTCTATACAAAAATGTCCTGCGAGGAATGAGCCCAATAGCCTGCTGAGGGATTGATAGTAAACGAGAAGAGCAAGGTGAAAAAACTCCTAGGAAGCTCATAGAGGTTAGGAAATGTAGGTTGCAGCTGCCAGTGAACTCACTGGCTGTGACTAATTTAGTATCGTCAAAGTAGTTGCCCTCACCAGGGGATGAGTCACCACGAGCAGAGGCAGCTCTAGCAGGCTGGAAGGCATTCCCATCCTCCTTACCCACTCCTCACCATCACCTCTGGGAGGAAAGGGAGGGCTCCCCAGTCTCCCCAGCACCCCACAGGTCCCAAGTCGGGAAGGTGGACCTACTCCCTTCACCAGAGGGATGCTCTGCCTGCCCGGGGTGCTCGCAGCAGCCCCGGGAAGGAAAGATAATGCAGAAATTATGTGAAGCATTTTCTTCTTATATAACGGGCAAGGAATAGCTACAACGGGAGCTATTATAGCGACGGTAGGAGGTTTGTGGGGGAGAGATGGCAAGACCAGAGGCAAGGGTCTGGGGAAGTAAAAGGCAAAGAATAGATGAGTGATAGATGGGGATGCAACGGGGAGGGCACGGGAGGAGGTTACGTGACACCCAGGCTCAGATATACGGGGACAAGCAGTGCTGGTGGAGAGGAAGGCTGGCATGGACAGGAGTGCTTCAGGGAGGTAACCATAAAGAGGAGGAGGAGGGAAGACCACAAGGACAAGACAGAGAAAGAGAGAGGGGTTTGGAGGGAGAAGCAAGAGGCCCCCAGGGAGGGGAGAGCTTGCACGGATGGGTGAGAGGCACTCCAGGACTGGCATGAGGTATGCCTTGCTATTGCTCTGAATGCTGTAAACATTTTGGTTTTGTGTCTATCAGTGAACATTCAGTTCAGTTTGATACATGTGCTCTTATGGGTAACTGGAAGCCTAGCAGAGTTTTACGTCTCTTATTACTAGTCAAACTTACACACGAGGCAAACACAACACTGGCTAAAATCTCGTTTTATGTCATTTATGCCTAATTCTCCTATTTTAACATGCACATCTATGTCTCAGAAAAGCTTCTCTAGTAGGAGACACTAAATAACATACACATGAATTCACATGCACTCTCACCCACCCACACCTGCAGACACACACGCTTATTTCCCTCCCCTGCTTAGACTAGCAGGACTTTGCCCTTCACAGCTTCCCAGCGCGGAGGGCAGGGACCCATCGGAACATAAACGAGTCCATAAAAGTGATATAAATCATCCCAAACCTGGCTGATGGGCCAAAGCAGGAGAAAGAAACTCAAAGCAGATTTGGGTTCTGCATCTGCTTCTGGAGTTAGCAACATCTGAAGCTTATAGAGAAGGCAATTTGTAAACTCTTCTTCCCTTTTGCTGTCCAAGGACTTGGGAGCTGACTGGTTACGTGCCAGCAAATACACAAAATAAAGACTTGAGCGAAATGCTTTTTTTCCTCTCTTCGTGTGATGGCACACTCTGACACCACTTGAAACAGGAGAAAAATTTTGGAGATGTGTGCTTGTGGAGGGGAGAAATAGGGTTTGTAAGTTATGAGTATCCCTTTCACACCAGTAAGAGATGAATCAAAGATAGGATATTTGTCCTTGATGGGGATTAGTCATCACTCAGTGCTTTCTGAAGCTTTGGCTCAGTCATTATTTCCTTAATCAGCCCCTGGTTTAAGGGGAAGAGCTATAAGCTGCCTATTTTAATTCACTTCAGACTGACATTTGGCATAAAAGAAGCAGCTGGTGCCGATTTCTTGTTTAAAAAAAATTACTTAAAATAACTAGTCTGCTTTCCTTCAAGAGAGAAAATCTGCAAGAGCAGCAACAAAAATAACCGTGGTAGACTCATATGCCTCAGACAATACTTTTGCTCCACTCTATGCTCTGGGATGTTTCCCGTGGAGGATGTCATCTGGCACCAGTTTAATGGGCAAAAACACTTCTCCTACATCAGCCAACATGAACACAGTTCCTGTCACAACCGCAGCAATGCCATCTCCGAGTCTGCCGGCGCGCACTTCTCCTACATCAGCCGACACGAACACAGTTCCTGTCACAACTGCAGCAATGCCATCTCCGAGTCTGCCGGCGCAAAGCAATTCCCCAGGTGGATGAAGGAGAGAAGGGAGCTTGTTTTTACACGATGTTGACTACTTTGAAGTTTTTCAATGAATTCTGACACAAACTGAAAGGGTGCCAGCGCTCATGCTGAAGGAGCTTGCCGAGAGACGTTACACCTCCTGGGCTTTCTGGAGTCACACTCTGAACAGGACCTGCCTTTGTAGCCATGAGGGAAGCATGGGAATTGTCTTTTCTTCTGAATTTCTGTTCCTCATTCCTCGACAAAAACATCTTGTTCTGCTGTTTCCTCGTGGCCTGGTGGTCCCTGGGACCTTCTCGGGTACCTGCAGGACGTTTTGCTGAAGAGCCTCTTCTGGGATGCATCAGCTGGCACCAGAGGTCAGCATCATCCAAGCCCACTCAGAAGGTGTATTGGTGGTTTTAAGAGAAATACCACAAGGCAGATAACATGGCCTTCTGCCTTCTCTTTAAGAGGGATGACTGCATAAGCCTGCTGGTGCTCTCTCACATCCAGGGCAGCACTGGGATGTTTTTGGCATGTATAGTCAAGAGGAGGCTGAAATGGAGGGAGGCAGGGCCAGACAAGGTGGCCTCCCTTCATCCCCACAGCATTGGGAAGTTGAGCTGCCACGTTGCAGTGGTTGGATCACCAGTGGCTGTGCCATTTTGGAGTCGCAGTGACACTGGGTACAATTGGCACCACAGGCCATCTCAAAGGGAACTACTTCAGCCGAAGCAACCCGTGTCCCTGAGAGATCCCAGTCCATCCTGCGTTATGCAGATGTAGTAGACACAGTGTTTCTTGGAAAGGACAGTTCTTCCAGTCCCTCCTCACAGCCAGTGCCTTTGCATCCTCCCTTGCAGGTCAAGATTGAGAGGGTTTCACTGCATCGTGGGGTGATTTGCCTTCCTCCTTCCCTTTCAACTACAGCAGGAAGGAGCTGTATAGGTAATGTTCCAGCCACCACCAGGGACAGCCACTGGATGTATGGCTCTATATCCTCTGCTTCTGTCTATGACTCCTTGCAGAGCATTGCACAAGTTTCCCCAGACACCTGTCCTGCTAGACCTTCTTTGCCAGGTACCCTGTTTGCCATAAAGCTATGGACCCATGAACAGCTACACTCATGGTCGGTTGGCCCACTGCGTGATGTAGACCCCTTGGATGATTCTAGGGCACTTTCTAGTGCCCACCTTTCACTGATCTTTTTCTACAAAACAACTGGAGAATGCTAGAGCTGACGAACCAGGTACTGAAAAATAGGCTTCCCTACTGAACATAATAAATTATGCAATTGCACCATATTTAGACTTTAGTGTCTTAGACATCACAGGAATACACCTTCAAAATAAAACAAACATGCTTACCATCCCCGTCTTGATCCTAAACCTAATTGTCCTAATGTTCTGTACAGCATCCTTACAAAAACCCTCAAAACCTGCTTCCTACCTAATGCATGTAAATTTTAATATCTGAGCAGGCTTTTTGTATCTCATTCCAAACACGTCCTGCTTAGCTTTAGAATTCACTCTACCTAGTCCACGCCACACTACACAAAACCTTTATCACCACCTTTCTGATGTATCAAAGTTCCCCTCCACCCTCAACTAGAGCAGAGGTTTATAGCCTCTGATCCGTGGGCGATTGAGAGAAGGAAAAGATCCATGAGGTCGCTTTCTGGGCCTTCATAAAGCTAAGAAAATAGACCTCTGGTCTGTAGGCTCAAATCCACAGACAGGCTGTCTGCTTCTGCACTAGAAAATATTGCAAGAATCTGGCAGCCGATAAGCTGGAACAGCCATGCCACAGAAATGGGGCCTTCATGTGGTGAGCATTAGTGCACAGCACAGAGGAGGTGCTACACAACTGACGTTTGCAGAGTCTTCTCCTGCAGCTGGCTATCCAGGCTATGGGAATAGGGCCAAAGTACCCTTCACACACCACTTGACACCCGCTCCACTGCATGCTTCCCTCTGTCCTGTTTTTAAGCAAGCACCATGCAGCAGGGTCTGTGTCCTTAGCAGTTCTTTACATGGCACTGAACCCACAGTAGACAATCGGTAGGTAACAACAACAGTCAATAATCAGTAAATAACAAAAATATAATCGTGATTTTTCATGTTACCTTCCTCTGCCATGTGCTGGTCAGGTGAAATGAAAAATGCTATCTGCCATAGCAGACAGGTCTTGTGCTCTTCTTACATCACAGCACGGGGCAGATGGGACATTCCTTCTCTTGACTCCTTCCCGACAGCTGGCAGGTCATTTCTGAGAAGCCACCAAGCCTGTTAATGTCTCTGGTGGCCAGGAGCCTCTTTGTGTTAGGCTTTGGTAGGGTGCCTGGCACAATGAAGCTTGAACGATGACTGGGGTCATAAGGCTGAACTACAGTACAAATAAATAATATTAATGAAAAACAATCATTCACACTAGAAGACTTGTCTGCCTAGGTCTAGCAAGAGTTTCTGGCATTACCTTCCTCATGAGAAAAACTCAGCTGCCTGACGGTCATACAGAAAATAACAGTCTCCATCTCTGGAAGATAAGCACATCAGAGGTGTGGAGGGGCTGTGACAGGGTAGCAGCTGGTGTCATCAGGTGTGCAACCAAAATGGAAAGGTGAGCTAAGTTCACTGATGGTTTCCTCTCTGGGAAGCAGCATGAATCATGTACCTCTGCCTTCTCTCTCCCTTCCCTCTCTCCCTCCTCATGGTCTCTGGATCCAGACCCCGGCAGCCAGCGTGGGAGATGATGCTTTGGACTAGACTTGGCTTCACAAGTTTCAGAACTGCCCTCAGGGCCCCTCCAAGCACAGGGGAGAGGTGAGAGCCAGGGAGATGTCTGGAAGGATGGAAAGGTTCAGTGGCATTATTTACACACAAACCAACATAGTGATTTTAAAGGAAACCTGCCTTCCCAACAGATGATTCCATGACTAGAGAGAATTATGGATTTGTGCTAGAGAGAGGCAACAACTGCAAGATGCTACCGCTAACCAAAACAAGCACAGAAACTCAGAGTTCTAATACCACATCTGGATTATGCTCTGGAAGCCTTCTCTTCTCCTTCTCCCTCTTTTCTCATTCCCACTGCTTTTAACACCAAGAAAGTTTCACATTTAGACATGGGTTTTGGCTGTTGTGGGAAGCACGTGGTTTCTGAGGCCCCATCACTGCTCTAGCTGAGCCTCCTCTGGGTTTGAGACAGCAGGTCTGTGTAAATTTTGGATCTCAGGAACCTGGGGTAAGAGTCTTTCTCCATCAGGCTATGCACCTTCCCCTGAGCTTGGTCAAAGCAAGTGAGAGAGGGCTCCTGCATATTTCTTCTTGTCAGCTCCCGTGTCTGGAAGTCTATGTTCACCTGAGAAAAGTAGCAGAAGAGAGTTTGGTGTTGAGTGACCAGTTTGCCTGCTTAAAATGACACATTAAATCTCAGCCATTGCTGTAAAAGCAGCAGAACAACCAATGTCCTACCCTCCGCCATGCCTAAACAACACCCCAAACTTTGCAGGGTCTAGTGATCCACCGTTATAAATCTTGCCCCAAATTTGGAAGAGTTGAACTACTTTATACTGATCTGAACTACTTCATACTTCTGAAATCAAGTTACCCCTGCTCAGGCTCTTAAGCATAGGTTTATGTAGTGCATCTTCTAAAAAATGCTGATTTAGCCTAACCTCTCTCCATCGACCAAGATTTCTCTATTCACTTTAGTCTTCACACAGGCCTAAGATAAAGGTGAATGAACTTCTAGCTGGGTTTAAACTATTAGTACGCTCTTATTAAATGTTTCTAAACTCTGTTGTTATAAAGTAAATTGTTTGATTTTTCCCAAACCAGCTTCATGTTATAATATCTTCAGCAGGGACTTGAAAAAATAAACCACCCTCATGTTATGACTGCTGTTCGTTTGGAAGGCCAACAACCTGAGTTTTCCTGTTTTCTTTCCCTGGCAAAGCAGTCAGCATTTGTTAGGGTTATTGTTTAGAAACTGGCTGAAAAGATGTTATTTGTTGTTATTAACCCAGACTCCAAACTTAAAGGAGTCTAGAAAGTAAAACTGTCTGCCTTAACTCAGACGACAGTGATACGGACTAGCTCTCTGTGTCACTTAAGGGTCATTTTGCATTCTAACACGCCAAAATTGTGACAACAGCACCAAATTTTAGGAAAGACCCATCCAGCCTGTGCTCACATTTCCACATTCTAGCACACCAAAATTGTGACAACAGGACCAAATTTTAGGAAAGACCCCATCCAGCCTGTGCTCACATTTCTAATCCTGCATTCTAACACGCCAAAATTGTGACAACAGCACCAAATTTTAGGAAAGACCCATCCAGCCTGTGCTCACATTTCTAATCCAGATTCAGCCCTATAGTCCTGAAAATCTCACCCAGTTTCACGAATAACAGCAGAAAGATGCTCACTGAGGGCGAGAGGGATCGAAGCGTGCCCCAAGGTTCCCCCCACCACTTGCTGTAAACCCGGGTGCTTCCCAGTGGCCTCGCAATTGCCTTCCTAGTTCAAAGATGGAGTAACCAGATTCAGCCCTATAGTCCTGAAAATCTCACCCAGTTTCACGAATAACAGCAGAAAGATGCTCACTGAGGGCGAGAGGGATCGAAGCGTGCCCCAAGGTTCCCCCCACCACTTGCTGTAAACCCGGGTGCTTCCCAGTGGCCTCGCAATTGCCTTCCTAGTTCAAAGATGGAGTAAAAAGAGCCTTTTTAGGGCTCCTCTTGCAGACACCTGCGTGGTGACAAGCTCCTGTGCAATCTAGCAGGAGGACAGCTGTGGGAGAGCAGGTGCAGTAGGCACCCACCTGGTTGCATTATGAATACAATAACACAACCCAACATCACGACACAGGATCTGACAGTCGCATCAGCCTGTCAGTGCTTCAAAGAGGACTTAACAATTCCAGGCTTGCGGGTTGCGACTGCACTTTTTTGTTCAGCTCCGAGTTACCGCTGGCATCTTTCAGGAGGTCTAATTGAGTTGGGAGTTAGTCAGCAGATAAACACTCCTCCCCGGGGAGTCAACAAGTTAGTCATTCGTGGGATGCTTCTATACAAAAATGTCCTGCGAGGAATGAGCCCAATAGCCTGCTGAGGGATTGATAGTAAACGAGAAGAGCAAGGTGAAAAAACTCCTAGGAAGCTCATAGAGGTTAGGAAATGTAGGTTGCAGCTGCCAGTGAACTCACTGGCTGTGACTAATTTAGTATCGTCAAAGTAGTTGCCCTCACCAGGGGATGAGTCACCACGAGCAGAGGCAGCTCTAGCAGGCTGGAAGGCATTCCCATCCTCCTTACCCACTCCTCACCATCACCTCTGGGAGGAAAGGGAGGGCTCCCCAGTCTCCCCAGCACCCCACAGGTCCCAAGTCGGGAAGGTGGACCTACTCCCTTCACCAGAGGGATGCTCTGCCTGCCCGGGGTGCTGGCATACCCACCTCTCGAGGAGCCTGGACATCAATGAACTCCTCAAAGATCCGCTGAGCCTTGGAGGCCAGCTTGGCTGCCGAGCGGGTCTTCTTGAAGTCCTCGCAGGCGAGCCAAAACTCCAGATTTTCCTCACTGAATTCTGTCTTCAGGAAAGCACGGAAAGCAGCCAGCCCATCTGCAAGGGAGACACAGGGAGTTATAATGAGAGAAGAAGGAGGGCAGGGAGCAGTCCATCTAATAAGCATCCCTCCACCTACTCCTGCCTACAAAAGGCCATTTGATTTTTCTCACAAGGTCTGCCACAGCACAGCCCACGATCCCAGGATGTGTCCATAACTTACCCCATTGCATCAACTGGAGTCTTGTGAGCTGCCACGAGGCCAAACATCATTTGCTGTTGCTCTGAAGAAGCGTTTTGCCAGCTAACGTGGCAGAAGGCTTTCTTCCGGATTGGGGCACCTAACCTTTGAAAAGTTCCTCCTGAAAATGTCAAGCTTCAACGATACCTTCTCTTTGCCACAGCACCGTGTGCACATAATGCAGCACTTTGTAATGTCCTATCCGTCATTAAGAAAAACCTTTAATAAAACATAGCGCCTGTGGACTTGTCTCCTATGTTTTCTGTCACTTTGCTTTATTGCCCTGTGACATATTTTTAGTTCCTATTTAAACAGAAGAAGGATCTTGGAGAGTCTAACTGTTACAGCTACAATAAAAGGGAGAGAGGGAAAGGGTGCAGCATAATTACTACTTGTCTAGTTGGTGGTAAAAGTGCTCTTATCGCTTGTTAATGCTTAGCAATTGTGACATTTCAGTAATGTAATCTGAGTCAGCCGGGGCAGATTAGAAATACGGAAAGATTTATTAGGCAATCTGTGTCCTCTTAAACCCCTGCCTGGGTGTGTTTATGGACATGGCTATTGTTTTTTATTTCCTTTCCCTGAATGGCACCAGCAGAGTTGAAGTAGTTGAAGGTTTCACATGTGCCCTTTCGCCTTCCTTTAGCCTGGAAATAAAATTGGCTCCTATTTTTTTTTTTTTTTCCAGTAACGTGTTTCTAACTTTTCCTGGTCTTTTTCAATAAGCTCTGAGTATTTGTAATTCATGACTGGAAACCTCCTGAGTCAGCACGGGCTACTTCCAAGCAAGTGTCTAAAAATATAGATGGAATCGGGAATGCATTCGGCGAGGTCAAACTCCCCAAAATCATGAGAGGAACGAGTGCATGTGTGCCTGGCAGGGAGGGACAAAGACCAGGGAGGGTTTGTAGGACCTGAACTCCTGCAATGTTGTGGGCTGGTGGCTCCACCTGCCCCTTTTCTCTCCGTAGGAGATCTGGGCAGTGCTGCCTTCCCTCCCTGCTCCCCATGGCAGGGGCGGTGGGAGCTGGGATGGAGACCAAGGGGCAATGCCTGAAGCCTAGTGTGGGTCATTTTCACATGTCCACGGCAAGCCCAGACCCATTGGGGACAAGGGCTGACCCTGTCACAGGCCATCACAAACTCCCTTACAGCTTGGTCCTTGTTTTCTTGCCTGCACCGGATATGTGAGGAGAAGCAGCAATGTAACACTGCCCTTCTTCTCTCTCATGTCCCCTAATCTTATTGCTGCTTCTCTTGTTTCCAGTAATAACTTAGGACACGGAGATATTTTTGATTTCTAGGTCCTGAGCCTCAAGCCCTAAGAAATGGCCCCAGGTGTCGAACAGCAACTAACAATCCTATTTCTGGCTGTGCATAAGTCAGTGGAGATGTCTGACTGCCCAGATGAGTCCCCAAAATCATGAGAGGAGCGAGTGCACGTGTGCCTGGCAGGGAGGGACAAAGACCAGGGAGGGTTTGTAGGACCTGAACTCCTGCAATGTTGTGGGTTGGGGGCTCCACCTGCCCCTTTTCTCTCCGTGGGAGATCTAGGCAGTGCTGCCATCCCTCCCTGCTCCCCATGGCAGGGGCAGTGGGAGCTGGGATGGAGACCAAGGGGCAATGCCTGAAGCCTAGTGTGGGTCATTTTCACATGTCCACGGCAAGCCCAGACCCATTGGGGACAAGGGCTGACCCTGTCACAGGCCATCACAAACTCCCTTACAGCTTGGTCCTTGTTTTCTTGCCTGCACCGGATATGTGAGGAGAAGCAGCAATGTAACACTGCCCTTCTTCTCTCTCATGTCCCCTAATCTTATTGCTGCTTCTCTTGTTTCCAGTAATAACTTAGGACACGGAGATATTTTTGATTTCTAGGTCCTGAGCCTCAAGCCCTAAGAAATGGCCCCAGGTGTCGAACAGCAACTAACAATCCTATTTCTGGCTGTGCATAAGTCAGTGGAGATGTCTGACTGCCCAGATTCTCAAAGGGAAAGGCAGAAAAGATATTAGGCCAGACAGGACCACACTACAGGCTAAACCTCTCCACTCCGTGTTTCTCAAAGCCCCTTCATTAACGGGCTCTGCACTGCTAATTGCTCCATCAGCACTCGGCATTGCAACAATCGGCAACTAAAATGGGTTCATCCCACCCCAGCTACGCTTGCTTCTTCTGTCAGCCCCTGGAGGGAGAGAAATAGCTGTATCATACCAACTCGCCCTGCCACTTCTTAATTAGCGTACTTGTAGGAGAAGAGCAAGGTTTCAGACTGCTACTGTGAACAAAACCAGGGCTTTTGTCCCTGAGAATGCCAGAGCAATTAACAGTGCCAGTCGTGGGTTCAAGCCTGGGGCAATAATCTGACATTAGCCCTGGAGAAGCCTGGAGACCAGAGAGTGCCAAAGGCATCTCCAGGAGCAGGGTACCTGTCAGGATGATGCTGCCTGTGGCTGCTTTCAGCCTCTCCGTGGGTAGATAAATATGGTGAATGAGAGAAATGTTTTAGAGCTGGTCCCTTTCCTGAAATCTAGGAGACAGAAAAAATTTTCAAAGCCTGCGTCCCCCTAAATGTCTATAAAATTCACAGGGCCAGTGCGGGAGCAAGTGGAAGACTTGGGAATAGAGCAGGGAGTCTTTGCAGGAGGAAAAGGAGAGGACATACCAGCAGGCTGACAGGTTTCAGAAAGAAGAAAGTACAAATGGGAGAAAGCAGCAGTTCCCCGAGATGTATGTCATTTTATATGTCATCATTTCTGAGGACATTTGACATTCCAGCACCCAAGCACACTGCTATGACTACACAACCTCTCCTGTTGGTCCTTCCAGAGGTCCTGCTGCCCTTTCTCCATCCTGTTCATTTTTTTTCCTCCCTTTACAACAGGTCCAGAGTGCCAGCACTGACACAGGAACACTTGCAGAAGTAGCAGCTTTGCGTGGCAAATATAATATCTACAAAATATAATATCTGCAAAATATTACCTGCTAAAAGAAAGGGATGTCATGATTGATGAGGTGAGAAAGGCCCTTGCTTCAGCCCTGCCCCAGAGAACAGCCACTGCAGGTTCCTCCTGGGACCTATTCTCTGCCTCCTGCTCTCACGTCAATCAGCTCCTTTGTATCTTGAAGTTTAGACAGCAGATAGATAAATACAAGTGTCTGGCTGTTCTCCACTTCTTTATATGTTCCTGTCATGCCATCCTCACAATCCTTGAAGAGCTGGAAATGATGAGGCTGGACCTGAGAGGATCTTGCAGAAGAGGCCTTGGATGCAGGAGAGGTCATCCTTGACTCCAGGCTGCCTGGCTCTCCACAGATTTCATCTTTAGCCTTTGACTGCCTGCCAGCATTTACAGCTGTGCTTGGCAGCCAGAGTTTGGAGATGGGAGCCCAGATGACCGCGCAGTAGTAAATCACTGCCCACAAGTTTATCACGGAACAATGACAAATCTGATTGAAAGGGCAGGAGGGCAATTCAGTAAGGGGGCTGCCACCACCTGAGCTGGAATGTGACCTGGATGATGGCTTTAGTCTCCTTCTGCACATGGTGGCTATCAAGAAAGCATCCCTCATGAAGGAGCACCATTTCAGAGCTCATCCCACCCAACTGGACAGCTTTTTTGCTGGGGCAACCAGCACTGGATTGCAGTATGCTAGGAGCTGGAGAGCATCACCTACTAAGTTAGCTTCCTGAAATATCCTAGAAGACAGTTGGAGCACCTGAGAAGTGTGATACCAAAGGGGTGCTTTACAGAAAAAGCACAGAAATGAAAAGCAGGATTAGAATTTCTCAGATGCAGCAGCATAAGACATCCTTAAAACCTGTAGCCTTAAGGCAGGGCCGTTCAAGAAAGGAGAGATGTATTGGTATAAACACAAGACCCTTCAAAACAACTATTGGACACTTATTCGGGAATTTGACTCAAAAGAGTGTTGAGCCTTGTTTGAAGCCAAAGGAGCAAATCAGTACTGATAGAGCAGGTATGATAAAGGCAAAGAAACAGGGCTCTTCTACTGAATGTCACGAGGAGCATAAGATGCTTACTTTTTATTTTTGCAGTGTGCAGTATAAACGTAAGCTTTAAAATTCTATTTTAAATTTTACTCTCCATTCAAATAGACCAAGGGGATGCACAAGAGAGTTGACAGGAAGGATTGTGCAAGTATCTATAGATAACTCCTTCCCAAGATCTTGCAGTGCACCTTACAGATGTAACCCTGCAGGTCACCTGCAAACGACAAGGATTTGTGTTTTCCAGATGGGGACTGCCAGGCAGATCAACAACGGTGTAAGGATCAGGTCTCAGACACTCCTGGCATTCCATCCAAATGTTGTCCTTCAGGACAGGAAGAGGGGATCCTTTCCAGCAAGAAGGGCTGGGGAGGAAGGGGCTGAACTGGATAGCACGAAACACAACACAGGTCTTAACTGAGGCAAGCTTCAGCAAGATGAGGAAGAGCTGAGATTAGCGGCTTAAATCATTCAGGCAGACAGCTTAATAACCAAGCATTAGCTGCTGTCAGAATAAGAAAGCAATCAACAATCACATATTTAATGCATGCATTTCACGCCATTGGGACGATCAGCACTTCACGTGGGAAATAAAGGATGGAGTCCTTATGGCTGGTAGATGAATGGATTAGCTCAGCAGAGCATGTTGGGTCCAGGGCTGAAGAGACAAGGCCACAATGCTCTGCACAGCGTACGTACACGCTCTCACTGCTGCTTAAGCATTGCTTTGGTGAATATCAGCTGCCTGTCACCAGCACAATGCTAATGCTAACACTGTTCTGGCTTAGAAAGAACCAGGAGTAGGTTGGGATATTCCTGTGCTGTGTAGGAAGAGGAGCAATGTGTAGACAACAGGAGGAGGAGGAGGGCAGTAAAGTTGAGGCAGAAGAGCAAAGAGATCACCAAAAAAAAATTGGTGGAGGGGAAAAAAAAATAATAATAGATCACCCTTGAGATAAAAATGGAAATTCAACGCAAAGGTTTTCTGTGTCAGATGCTTCATTGGAAAGTGACTAAGGGTTGAGCACAGACTGTCCTGCTGGATTCTGGACAAACGACAAGCCATGTGTCCAGCCCCGCGAGGGATGCAGAATGAGACATGCCATTGCTTGTATTTCCCTCCACCGCCTGTCAAAAGAAATCTCCATCTGGCTGACCAGTCTGTACCTCCTGGGCATGGGTACAGAGGGGGGATTGCTCCTCTGTTACTCACACACATGCACACACACTTTGAGGACCACACCGAGCCCCACTTCCCTGGAAGCCATCGCTAATCCACACGGACAAAATATGGGAAAAGATGCCAAAACCTAGCATGTTAAAACCACTTCTTTTGCTCCCTGAGCATCGGAGAAAGCATGCTACATATCATCTGTCTCTTGCATTCTCAATTCCCTGCTGCAAAGTAGGATCAAACTCTTCTGTCCTGTTGTGTGCCACACTCAGAAGCCCTGACCCAAGGGAACACTGCAGCACTGTGCTTGTGTCTCTTAAAGCAAGCTCAGGCAAGGCTCCTGCTTGTAAAAAGGAGATCAACTGGCTCATCCTATAGTTTCGAGTTGATTTGCTTCACCCATTAACAAAACCAAGCAGAATATCTCTGCATTGACCTATTCATCTGGGGCTGTTAATGAAACGGAGCCGAGCTGCATCCTACCATTTAGCAATGGTTACCCTAAGAGGGCCAGGCTGAAGGATGCTGGAGTCCCAATGCTATTCAAGATGCTGCCAGAGGTAGCATCTCAGGGTCAAGCATCACCTACAGACATCATTCATCAAAGCAATGAGGGGAGAGGGAAAGAGGGGGCTCCAGAGGGCCATCACCCTTCAAGGGATATTTGACAAAAATGAGCATAATGATACTCCCCAGAGAGCCTGTCTAATGCATAATACCTCTTCAGGTCACTCGCTTGCCTTTCACGTAAAGAGAACTGCAGCCCTGCCAGCCTCCTCTGTGTACAAGGGCAGCCTGCTCACCTTGGCACTTCAGAGAGTCTTTTAGGGAGCTCTGATCCACTTTCTTACTCCTTGGAGCTCTTTTTTGCTTTTGTCCAACCCATTGCAATATTACCCACAAAGACTGCCCCATTTTCAGCTGCTACACCCAGCACCTGAGTTCTACTTGAGCACTCTGGGATTATTATTTTTTTTTCCTTCAAAGAACAGGTTGGCTGGAAGAGACCAAAAACCACCATAACCCCCTGAAATCAACATCACAACCTCCCTTCCAAAACCGATGAACTGTCCATCTAGCAAAGAAGGAGTTTATGACAGATGTGTCAAGCAGAAGCCATCTACCTGCTGATGCCTCTGAGCCCCAGGGGAAACTCTCCCCGAGCCCAGCTGGTGCTTAGCCCATGCCCCCAAGCATGAATTCAAATTTTCCCTGGCTAATGCTGTTCACCTGGGCAGTGACAGGGAAATCAGGCTGAGACAGTTCTGCCCTGCTCTTGGTGCTAAAAGCAGAATATTAGCTGGCAGCTTTACTACAGGCAGATGCAGGCAGGCCAGGCTTTACTTACTCTGAAATTTTGGTCAGCTAAGGCACAAGACTCCCTTACCTGACATCAGCACAGGTTTCTAACAGCGAAAACGCAACATTCCTGCTCTGTTTTCATAGTATAACTTTGGCAATTCTTCCGTGTTTCGGATACAAGTATACATACGAAAAAACCCCAACGATTGCACAAGATAATTCCTTTTATGGAAATACGCTCTTCTCTCCTTTAAACGAGTGTAAGTGAAATAACACTTCTGTTTCAACAGAGCTTTTTGAATTTGCATCGTTATAACCTTTGACTGCCAGGCTAGCAATTCCAGAAACTTCAGGTGCGGAGCAGTTGTAATATATTCCTTGAGAAAGCAGTTTATTAAACCACTTTTTTTTTTTTTCTTCTCACTGATCACCAGGCTATGTCACCATGACTGCTGATAAAAAAAAGATTAATTTAAATTTTAAAGATCACCTTCTGTTGCTATTAGGAACTGAATATTTTTCATTAAGTGCCAGAGAGTTATCAGAATTACTTTCCATTCTAGAGACAGGAAAAATTCTGATAATTCATTTATCACTCTATAAGGCTAATTTATTAATAAAAACAGACACTCTTGTGGAGGCTGTTGGACAAAATAATGGAACTATGGTTTGATTTAGCATTCGCAGCAGTCAACTGAAGAGGGAACAAGCTGTATGTCAGTGTATAGATGCGGAAATTCGCTGGCTTTTGTAACCAAAGCACTTTTACTGCAGTCTGTATCTAATAAGGAAAATTTTGACTTTTGCACTGGTGAAGGAGGAACAGAGGCTCAAGTACAGAATTGTAACACTGATATGAGTATCCTGTCCTCCCCCCTCACCATCCCCCAGGCAGCCTGTAGTCTCTTTGGTGCATTTTTCCCTTATTGTTTTGAATTTTGACAAAAGAAATGTTCCCTCTTAGCCATACCCAGCTACACCATTATATTTTTTTTTTCTACTGGCTGCAAGAGCAATGATCTCAACAAGATACTGCTGCTAAAATTATATACTGCTTTTTCTGCCTTGGACAGCCAGCCTGTTTAAAGTTGTCACTTAATTCCCTGCCAAAACTGTTGTCATCTCAGTAGAAATCAGAAAAATTACACTTTATTTAAAATAATAATATAATTCTACACGTATATTTTAAAGCATAAGTGCAGAAAAAACCTGTATCTCTGAGAAAACCAGACAGTTCCTGACTGCAATAAAATAGTTCACCGCCCACGCTGACTTCTCCCCAACCTTGACTCGCTCTTGCTTTATTCTCCAATAGAAACACGTTAATGAATGTATACTGTGAACTTTGCTGTCTTGTTTATAATTTCTCAGCGTGAAAACACCGGAGAAGCAGAATAATATTTTCCGAACAGAACTGGTATGATTGATCTGCTGAATGGAGCGAGGTGCGCTGATTATATGTTTGTGGAAGATTTCCAGATGTGAAATTTTCAGGTTTGCATCAATAACTGTAAACGAGATCCTGCTAAGGGCTACCATGCAGGATTTCTCTGCGACAGGTCAACTTGTTCAAGGTTGGTGAGCCACATGCTCATACCATTGTGTGGTAGCACCCCATAGCAATCCCAGCAAAGGCTGAGCTTCAGCATCACTGCACAGCAGCTCGGAAGAGCAGCTGGAGGGAGAGGGAGACAAGCCAGTGTCATGGATCTCAGGGGGCTTTAGCGAGCTGAGAACCTGCCGTTTGCTTGTGTGGAAAGACTGGACCCAGAGACACTTGCCAAAGATCGGTACGCGTGGCTACAGCCTTGGGGTCCTGCTTCCAGCGCATCCCCAGGAGCTGGAGAAGGACAGACCTTGGGTTGATGACTTTATCAGTTGTGATCACCCAGCCAAGAGCAAACCCACAGAAACTCACTCCATCACTTTTTAGCCAGGTGACAAAGTCCTGCCTATAAATGACTGTGGCCACTGCCACATCCCGAGGCAGCATCCCGAGGGACCCTTCCTGCACTCTGCAGTGTGATGTGGTACACACTTTGTGTGCCCTAGCTACAACCAGTATTAAGGGTACGAGGGGGGAAAAAATAAAAAAAAAAGTTTAATTTGATCTCTACTCACATTTATGGGACAAAAGGACATCAAAAGAGTCTGCCCATCTTGTTGCTTCTTCTGTTGACAGTCTTCTGTAAAGGAAGGAAGAGGGAATTACAGACAACCCATGGCCGCGGATCCTCTCTGGGGCTGTTTGACAAGGACACCGAGGAAGGCTGGATTCTTCTCACCTAACTTTGGAGGTCTCCAATGTAGAGGTCTCCAGGTGAGCAAGTCACCCTGGGCTCCCTTTGGAGTCAGTGAGGAAATACCGAGGGACTTGCAAGGGCTTAACTCTCCTCACCTCACATCCCCTGGGTAGGCAGGTAAAAATAGGCCAGATGAGTCACACCCAAAAAAGAGACAAATTTTTCCTCATTGACTCTAAGCAGAGGCTCAGGGAACAAGTTCAGCTGCAGACATTTACATTGTAAATGCCAAAAGTTAAGTGAAATGAAAGCCACCCCTGCAGAAGTGTTTATTTCTCTCTCCTAACTTTAAGGGGAAGGTTAGACTAGATGTAAGCAGTGACTTGTGATCAGCTGAATCCCATCCCACTCATCTCAAATCAGGACTCTGGACTCTCTGAAGCATCTACCTGAGGTGTTATGCCAACTAATGCAGGACTTTTTGGTAGTGTTTAATAACAAGGCTTAGCTAAGGAGGACTGATCTGAAATCGCTGGTCCCCTCTTAAGGCTTAGCAAAGGAGGACTGAGGACTGATCTGAAATCGCTGGTCCCCTCTTATACCAAATCAACTGCTCAGACTTTGAGTTGTGATGACAGAGGGGTAAATTACATCCTCAAATACGTGCAGGTATGTCCCACACACAGCAGGAGGGACTGTGCGTGTGTCCTGTCTCACAGGAGAACTCGTGCCAGTGATCCAGGTATTTTCTGAGGCTGTTCCTGCTGTATCAGCGCTGTTTTGTTTTCCTCCTTCCTTGCGGCTAAAAGAACTATTCAAAGTTTATACAAAGTACAGTGAAATGATGATAATACTAGAGGGGGGGGTGGGCAGGGAGGAGAAGGACAGAAATGGGGTGGGGGTGGGATGCTGCAGCTATACTCACTTCAAAGCCCGGTTGGGCTTGTCCGGAAGAATAGCTGTGAAATCATTATATGAGTCTGATTTGTGAGACAGGCAGCCCAGGCGAGTCCTCATCCCTCTGTTCCTGTGGTCGATGTGGGGGAGCAGGGGTGTGAGCAGGGGAAAACCAAAGAAGACGACGATTATAAGTTTAGCCAGAGTGGCAAAAAAAAAAAAAAAAAAAAGAAACCCACCAAAACAAAAAAAAAAAACCACCTCAGTGGCTCTGTGCCTCACCAAACCTGTGTCCTTGGTTCCCTCATCTGTGGGAGGGACCCTGAAACATCTCCAGTAAGATGCCAAGCAGACACTAAGTTCGGACACAGCACCAGAGCAGCTGAAGGCTCACCCACAGCAGTCATTCAGCTGCTCGGGCTGGAAAAAAGGCTTTTAAAGGCTGAACTTTGGGATGGTTTCTTGGAAAGACCTGCTCTGGCCAGGTGTGAGAGGAGGGCAAAGGGCAGCAATACCAGAAATCAGTCACCACAACCCAGCAGCACCAGAAACAGCACAAATACCAGGGGCCTGAGGGGGCTGGAGGAAGAAGAGGGGGAGCAGGGCACCTGCAAGGTGAGTCTGTGCTGCAGAGCTGTGAGAGCCCCACCAGGATCCCGAGCAGCTTCTTTAGACTCGGGGTTACATAAGCAGACTAAAACTGCCTCTTTCCCGACAGGCTTACCCAGGCAGAAAATGGCTTTATTGCTTTTTTTCCTCTAAATTTCAAACCAGCCCCAGAGCCTTCACTCCTCCACCGGCCCCTCGTGTCCTTGCCAGCCCCTTCCCGGGATAGCCGGAGCATCCGCAGCATCCTTCCTTACATAACTCTGGGATGGGGAGGAACACAGAGGGAGAGGGAAACATAACACACACACACACAGGCAGCACTCGGGACCGGCATCCTCTCCTCTCAAAAACACACAGGTGCTGGATGATGGTTTTACGTGGTCTCTAGAAGGGCGCAGCCTGAGATTTGCCTCTCCAGCCCAAGGGCACCTCTTCTATGAGATTCCCTGAACATCAAACGAGGCCATTCTCTCTGCTGGACCATGGCAGCAGGATTGAGCAACCCAGTCTCCACTTCTCAGCTGCTGGACCCGCTTCCAAGCTGGAGAAAGCCCTTCCCTGAGCAGCCCTCCTGCCAAACAGATGCCAAATACTTTCTGTGACTGCAGAGGGAAGCACAGTATTTTTCCCTTCCATATGCAATTCTTGCAGAACACTTCAGCACCAGCAGCTGAGCCAATCTGTAGCACTCCTGTTTCCCTCTTCTCCTCCCGCCCTTCAGAGAGTTTCTATTATTGCACGTTTTAATGTAATCTTAAAGCAAATTAAATGTTAATTAAATGCAACGAGTGTCTCCCTGGCACAGCACAGGCAGCTCGTAGCACTTCACAAAAAAACCTGAAGATCCTCAGTCACAGGAATTGTTGCACAGCCTCAAAAATACGGACCCGTGACCAGTGGTCTCAGGATGCTACGCTACACAAACCTCAAACATCAATGCAAAAATACCCTTTGCAAAGTGTCATCTTCCTGGCTGACCATGCCGTGCTCAAACGCACACCGAGCCTGCCACAGGATATTTCTGGTACCCTTCCTGATGCCTCCTGCCCCCAAACCTTTATCTTCCCTGCACTGTTTGTTCTAGCAAGCTCACGAATTTCTCAGCAAGAGGTGTGACACGCAGTACCGCAATGCTGCTCGGCTTTCTCTCTGATGCCTGAGATCAAGGGACTGCAGCAGGGAATCGGAGCGTATGGGGGGCAAGAGATGCTGCGCCACGAGCAAGGAGCTTGTCTCTGATGGAACACCGATCTCTAGGTGAGGACTTCCAAGACAGGACACGGGAGAAAGAGAAGGAAAGAAACCGGGACGGCAGGAGGTGGAGAGGCAAGGGAAGGGCAGGAGGGAAGAGGGGACACTGCAGCGAGCTGAGGGGCTCGCTGGACGAGGTAGACAGCACAGCAACAGGATGGGCAGGGGTGAGGGATGCATCATGTCTTTTCAGTTACCTCCGTGGGATCAGTAAGGCAGCCATTCAGGCATCCAGTTAGAGTTAACCCTTTAACTGGCTGGCTCGGACAGCAGTCGGGACTGTTTGCAGGAGACAGGAGAGCGGAAAGGAGGGATTTACTGTTTCATGTCCTGGCACTTAAAAATATATCAAAGAATCCTCTGCAAAAAAAAAAGGAGGGCCAGTTGTTCTCAACCCATTTGATCCTTGCCTCCTAGCGCAGATGGTCGACTTTTCAATGGAAGACGTTCAGAGTTGAGGGATGATCATAAAGGAGAGACAGCATTTCCTTCTAAGACCAGGACCGCGGGTTAAGTCCAGCTTCAGGTCTAAAGTGATTTGAGTTTGGCGTCACAGCTCACCACAGAGCAGCAGGAGTTGGCATTATGGTACTCATCATTCAACTCCTCTGAAGGTCTCTCCTCAACAGGCAGAGCTCCAGGCTGACCTCGCTAAGAAGACCAAACTACCTCTTGTCCCTGTCCTTCCAGGTCATGGCTGATGTTAGTGGACAGGCATCATGGAAAAGCTGGCTGGCACTGCAAATAAAATAACAGGAGGACTTCACGCGTCTGCAGGTGCTGGTCCTTTCACCATCACAGGCTCAAGCACTCACACAAAAATAACTCAAAGAGAGCATCTCCTCTTCAGGGTGGTGGGAGTCTGCAGGGAGCTACCAAGGAGGTGCACAGTCTGCAAAGGGGAGGGAAGGAGGGAGGGAGGAAGGGAAGGAGGGAGGGACAGAGGGGATGGCAGGGACCTCATGAGCCTTGGCATACAGGTTGAATAAACCTCACATCAGAGAGAGAAGGTGAGGTCCACCAGCCAGGAGACCAATGGGACGGAGTGCAGGACTGTACAGTGAGCAAAGGGAAAAGGTTTCTTATTTGCCCAGGATAGGACCAAGCTCCAGATAACCCCCATGTCCTCTTTCCCCAAGGGAACAACTGAGGAGGAGACAAAGGACCTGATGAGAACAGAGACTGTGCAAAGGAGTCAAGACCCTGCTCCGCTGGGGCCTGGGGAGATCCCAGAGCTTGAGCTGCCCTTCGCAATACTCCTTTTAAAATCTGATTACATTAAAAATGCACAAAGCCTCTTCCCAACTAAATTAATGGAACTGGAATTGCACTACATGCCAGTGAGTGCATTTCCTTAATCCCTACCCTGACCGGCTGCTTCGATGCGCTTTAACTGAAATCAATCCTTGTAATTCCTTAAGCCCCTTTAAATTTCCTCATTAACAGCCTCCCTCGCATGTGGGGCCATGGCACATGATCTTCTAGAGTCCAGCAGCCCCTACTCCCCTTTCCCACTGCCACTCCGAAGTGGTGGCTGGAAGCGGAGCCGGGTGCCCTGTCCCTCACAGCCTCCTCTAGCAGCCTGCTTTTTGGGGTGTTGTTACAAAACAGCCTTCTGTTCGCCCCCACTCCCACCATCTTCCAGCCCCCACAACACCAACCTGCACAGCTGAGCAGCACCAAACTTCCCCATGAATCCCAAAGTCTGTCTGACTCCATGGGCGCCGAGACCTTTATCAGGCAGCCAGGCAATCCCACTGCTAGGCTGGCATCCCCACGGATACCTGTCCCTCACAGCCTCCTCTAGCAGCCTGCTTTTTGGGGTGTTGTTACGAAACAGCCTTCTGTTCGCCCCCACTCCCACCCTCTTCCAGCCCCCACAACAACAACCTGCACAGCTGAGCAGCACCAAACTTCCCCACGAATCCCAAAGTCTGTCTGACTCCATGGACACAGAGACCTTTATTTCCCGTGAAGGCAGTCCCACTGCTAGGCTGGCATCCCCACGGATATTTCCTCTGATTGCAAATAAAGCCAGTCAATTATGACTTTAGAAATATAATCTGTGGTGTGCGGTAAAGGCATCCCTGTAGGAATCCATGGTGAGGTTTTTTGCCTCCTGCTCCATCATTCATCCTACCTCTCCCTCTGTGAAAGGACCCTGGTCAAGGAGAATTGCCAGTCTCATCATGGATGTGGTTTGGGGGTTTCTCCTTGGGAGACAGAAAGGGGGGGATGTGGTTATGACATTCGGGTTATCAAACCACCCCAGGAGATCACCTGAGCAAAGATAAAGAAGCCATCCCAATAGAAAAAAAAAATCAGCAGCACAAAGGTAAAAAAAAAAAACTAAACCCATGAGACCTCAGGGGCTTCAAGAGATTAAGACCATCCATCCACACGCAGAGAAAGCCAGAAAAAAAAACCGAACACAGAAGCACTGCAGACAGACAGACAGACACAGAGAAAAAGGTACTCACTGCCTTTGACCTGTCCTCTCTGCCGGTGGGTCTGTGCTGACAGCGTGGCCGGAGAGGCTCTGGGGAGAGAGCAGAGCGGTCTTCTTTCAGAGACAACCCCCTGCGCGGGGTGAAAGTCACACTTGGACACCCCTCCCCTCCCCACCTCTCTCCGAGCAGCAGCAGCAGCAGCAGCAGCAAAGGGAGAGAAGCTCAGAGCATCTCCCTCGCAACCAGCAAAACCCTACGAGCAGCCTCAAAGCCGGCAGAGGCTGGGGCTGGGCTGCGCAGCCGGATCCCACCGCTCAGCTTGTCGGCGGCACCGCCGGGGAGCCCACCTGATCCCCTCCTCTCACTGCATCCCTCCTCGCCCACCACCTCGCTAACCTGCCCGCAAAGCCCCAGCTTTTCTCCCCCCCTCCCGCCCTTGGAGATGGGGGAACCGCTCTGCACGGGCGGCGGATGCCAAATGCTGGCAGGGAGCATCTGGGGTGGGGAGAGGGGGGCTGGAGGGGGGATGCCTGGGAAAGCGCTCGCTGTTGTCACCCTCGGTATGTCGGAATAAAGCATCCGCCTGCACTGTTTTAATCGGCTCCTCTGAGGTTTAGGGAAGGTTGCTGCCCTCGGATCACAGATCACCAAGGGTTGCCACGGACAGAAGGGAGAGGAGAGTGTAATTAAAAGAGCCCTGGTGTCAGCAGGGCCAAACGAAATTGGTAACAGGCAAGCGAGCACCTTATTGCAGGGCATGGGATGGAAGATGGAAAAAAAAACATTACACCTGGCAAGTCAGTGATGTGACTGACCCTTTTCATCCATCTCCCCTTCCCACACCTGATGCGCCCCATCCTGCTGGCTCCCTGCCCCACAGCAGGCTCCCCATGACTTTCCTCAAGCACTCACCCCATGGTGCAGTCTCCCATTCCCTTTTTCTCTCCTACACCCACATCTCCATCCTCCAGAGGATGTATACGGGGTGTCTGGTGCACCCCAGTGACTCTAACAACACCCTAACCCACGGCACCTACTCCCCAGGTCTGGGCTTAGCTTGGCCATTAGTAACAGCACCTGGGTGTCCCACAAGCTGCACAAGCTCTGAGGTGGATCACCGACTGAGGGCTCAAGCCATGAGATCTCCATTGTTTTTTTGATCTTGACAAAGCCGATTAACTAAAATAAAAATTATAATCATAGAATCGTCTAGGTTGGAAGAGACCCTTGGGATCATCGAGTCCAACCATCTACCCTACTCTACAAAGTCCTCCCCTACAGCATGTCCCTTAGCACTGCATCTAAACGGCCCTTAAACACAGCCAGGGATGGTGACTCCACCCCCTCCCTGGGCAGCCTGTTCCAATGCCCTATCACTTTTTCGGTGAAAAATTCTTTCCTAATGTTCAAATGATAATGATAATTAAAAAAACCTCCTCTGCAGTTAAACAAGTCATTGCCTTTTTCTTGGAAACTTGTAGTCATCTGCCTCTCCTCTGCTAAAACACCACTGGGACCAACATCCTGGTGCTATTAGCAGGAAGCTTGTCTTGAGATAGCACATTATCACCAGGCAACATCCCTGGGGAGAGACAGAGAGTCCTGCAAAACTTACTATGAAAACACAGGGCTTAGTAGCACTGCAGCAGCGATCCCAGCTGCCCATCATCTTGGATCCCCTCCTTCACAGCTCAACACGGCAAGGAAATATTTGCCTTGTTCTCATCCTCCCGTGGCAAAGCCCTGGTCATCCTGACTTGGATTAATCATGTCTCCAGTTATCAGAAGACAAGCACTGGAAAAAAAGGCCACAGCTGATACAATCTCCTCGCAGCCAAGGTCAAAGGTTGAGGTTCATTTTACGCCTCTGGTAAACAGGCTGGTTTGTTCAAGTTAAATAACAGTCAGCTTCAGCCCTTGCCCCAAACCCAAGCCAAATTTAATACAACATCACCGAGGGTTTAACTTCTAACATGTCATTTTTGTTTTAATGCATTTACACATTTCCAGGTTCTCTCTGGGCAACTACAGGATGTCAGGAGTGACACTGTTTTCATAATACTTCCAGGACATCCCTCAGATCTCATTTACACCCACAGACATTGTGGGGTGGTGAGGGTCAACAAAATGTTCAATCAACAAAGCTCCAGATAATTCTGGTCCGTTATTCAGATAGCTGGACTTTGCCACAGCTCTCAAACAGATCAAAAACTCTGATCTACTAACTCTGGATGGGATCCAGCAGAGGACGACATGAGTCCTTCCACTCCTCCTCCTGCTTTTATGCCAGTTTTATACATTGCCATCTCATAGCCATCACCAGTATGGATAGAGACCCCAACTCCTGTTTCTCCAGTACACCAGTACACCCTTTTTGTGACCTCCCTGAGACCCTGGAGCAACCACCAAATAACTCTGAACACCAACATTTTTTTCTTCTCATTTCCTGGGCCAGGTGTGAGTTAATACAGAACAAAAATAAGTGAACTGTGTTGACACAGGCACTATGGTAAATGTAATTAAATTGCAGATAAAGAGAATTATATTTTTTTACAGGGTAATATTTTAGAAAGCTTCTGTGTAGTAGAAGAGGTTTATAGCAAATTCCTTCTAAAATAGCCCTCCTGCTTCCGACTACTCTGTAGCTTCTATTTAAAAGCTTTTAATAAAATAACTCATTTTGATATTAGGCTTGAATCCCATCCAAAATTTTAAATCTCTTCAAGAAATACTTTAAAGCAATTTCCTCCTGACCTGCTAACAGCAAACACACAAGCAGTGAACACGTGCAGCGTTGGGAGTGTTGGCTGTCACTGGGCAGGGTGGAAGGGACTTTACCAGCCTGCTCCCTGGACGTTAATTTTCTTTCCACCATCTCCAGGGTGCTTTTCACCATCCCTCTTATTTTAAATGCCTCCCTGCCTATTCCATGTGTTTTGTCCATTGATGGTCATTCAAGTGTTTTTTTTTCCCCCAAAACTTCTTCTGGACCAAACACTTTCGCCAGTTTCACTTAGTCCCAGTTTCTGCTATCTAACTGCTAGATAAAATTGCATGGCCTGAAGACACCTCTTCCTTCCAGTACGGCTGCCCTTACATGTCCAGCAGGACCAGGAAGGCAGCTCTGGCTGGTAGGTGTATGGCTTTGGCCTGTCCAGACACAGGGATGTTCTTCCTGGGGCTGGCAGCTGACCACCCTTCTCAGTTTGGAGCTGGAACATCAGGGGACACCTACACTAACTAGCTCATTTGCTTGGCTGACATCTCCAGTGGGTTTGCCTTAAATAAACTCCTTCACCTTGACATTTAAGCAGACTTCTCCCTATCCTCTCACTCTTGTTCTGTTTCCTCAGGGGTCTGCTGCTGCTCTGGGATTCCATTATTTCATGTTTAACGAAGCCATCATGCCGAGCCTGCTGCTGTCGCTTCCACTTCTCATTTCTGACTTCGTGGCCTTGTCATATTTACAGTGATCCACGCCACAAGGGCTTTGAACTTCTTTGGGGTTGCATTTGCTCTTACTTTGCGACTTTTCCTGGGTCTATGCCAGCATCTCTCTCCTCTAGTACCCTGCCGCAAGGAGCTTGTTTGAGGATGTGCTTCACAACTTGTTAGTCCAAGAGTTTTTTTCCCCAGCGCCAAGAAAGTGCTTCTTCAGACTGCTGTGATGTTTGGCAGCTACATCCCCATAGGTGAAGTCATTCTTTGGTATGTTTTCATGAGATCCTATTGCCTCTGTGAAGTCTCCTGAAGGTGCTTGGTGATGTAGGCTCTTTGACTGCAAAACATCAATTACATGAGGCCAGCTGCCTCCCACAAGTAGCCACCGCTTTGGGAATTCAGGTGACCTGGATGCAAAGCCTACCCTTGACTCAACCACAAGCCTTCAGCCATGGGCCACTTCTGCTGTGACCCAAGGGGGCTTTGTATTTTTGTTGGAGGACTGGAAGGAACAACAACCCTTAGAGCGACAATCCTAGCAAATCCAAGTGACCACAAAGTGTTGCTTGATCTCCTGTGACACATGGTCATTCAAAATTTATCCAAACTGTAGACTGGTACCTATATGGACCCAAACCCCAGGTAATTCAAATTAATAATTCATTTAACCTCAAAGCTTGCTGTTCACCACCACTGTTTGCAAATAAAGCTGGAAGGAAATTGTTAGTAACTGAGATCTGACATGCAATGTTCTGCTCACTGCGCCAGGCTGCCTGCCTGATTGTTTTAGGGTCCAGGGGAAAAATACACCTGGTCCAACACCAGGAGATGGCCTTGGCAGGAGGGAATTATGACTGACATGGATAGCTTCCTCAACTGCAAAACAGATCACATCTTAGCAGTGAAGAGAGCCACGAGAACACAGCTCCCCCTTCTTAAAATGGAGCTCCAGTAACATCAGGAAACATCCACAGATGTAGTTCAGGATGTTTTTAAGGGGTTAATTTTTCTATTCACCTTAGACCTCAATTTCCACATCAGCCCAGGCAAGCAGGAAATCCTGAAAGGTGAAACAAGGAGAGCTTGAGTTTCAGGGGTAGGTGAGGAAACCAAGCAGCTGAGATACCGGATGGGGGGCTGACAAAAGAAGCCACCTCTCATGTGCTAACGAGGCAGGGCAGGAGATAGGAGACACCCACTGAGTTGAACTCCCCTTGAAAATAAAAGGCTGCGTTTAAAAATAAAAACGAGTTACATAAAGTGTGAGCCACGGCTCTGTCTCCAGCTTAGCATCAAGAGCATGGCAGCTATTTAAATTCTCCCCTGTGTCAATGATAGAAGTGTCTCCTGGACACGTTTTTGCAGCTCTCGGGCGTTGCGGTTGCTGCAGCAGAACAGATGCCTCTGCTGCGAGATGGCTCCTGGCCCCAGCTCTCCCAATGCCCTCCCCAATTCCTCCAGGCAGGTAGGACGAAAAACCAAGAGCTAAGCAGCGTGGAAGGCTCTGTGCTGAAAGGGGCAGCGTGCAAGACAGGAATCAAAGGGAAGAATTTCCCCTTTAAAGCCCTTTATTACAATTTCGTAATTGTTCTCTGAGGAAACGTGCTCCCCTGCCCCAGGAGCAGTTGCACGTAGAGAAGCGCGTCGGTGCCTCGGCGTGTGCGCTGGAGAGGATGCTGTTAGTGTGGAGCAGAGAGGCAGAAAGGATTGGAGTTGACACGGAGCTTGCTCTGTGCAGCCTTGGAGTCCTCCCAGCTTGCAGCATCGCTGCTGCTGTCAGTATGGCAGCCTCTGTAAGGCAGTCGGTGTATGTATGGCCAGGAAGCCAAGACAGATCCACCCTGACAGACAGAGCTCCAAAGATCCCCTTCTGCAGATGCTCCGTCCCTTGTACATTTTAATGGAAACCTGATGCTCAACGCAGGCCAGGGAGC